CATGTTTATATAAGATAGTTATGCAAATATTAAAGATTTCAAGAAAGAGTAAGAATAACAAATTGGTTAATACCTCGCCAAAGCAAAGTTATTATTTTCTTGCAAAATGCATGAAAAGTATATTCCTTGAACCAATTCTTTGTAAAGTATGACACAAGAGATAATGAAGTATGACAAAAGAAATTTTTAAATATAAACAATCAGCAATTTTTCAATGTAACAAGAAGCTTTAAATTAGGAGCATGATAGAAGATAATGTCAGTGCAGGAATGAATTTTGGAAGTATAGTGATAAAAAGAACAATTATTAAGAAAAAATAAATTATTATTATTAATATGATTGAGCTGATTCAATTTTTAGTGATCACATCTGTGTTACAAGTGATTGGTTTGTAAAATTCAATGGATAAAAATTTTATAACTCATTGAAAATATAATTTATATAATTTAATAATCAGTTATAGGAGATCTATCAAAAATTGATGATGTCCAAACTTGTATGGAATTTTGCTCTATTTTTGGTAACATAGGAAATTTCAAGGATGGATATTGTGCTTGTGAAAATTTGGATAATACAGGTATCTTATTTACTTTTAGAAAAGAATACGTATCAAATATATAATCAATTGTATATTTTATTATAGATGCAGAAAATGTAATTCGTGAAAACAGGCAAATAGATTATGTTGATCCTATTTCATATTCTAATGATCTTACTAATGAAGAACGAACAATGCGCTGTGCATTAAGATCAAGGAAACACATGAGACATCGTAAGATATAACTTAATAGTAACATAAACAAATAATAAATTAAGAATAAAATTTCTAATGATTTTTATATAACATAACAGATGATGCTGATCGTATAGTCACATACTTTGTTAATGATGGACCAGCAAATGGTCATGCTTATTTTGTTCAAGCAGCTAATCAAAATATAAATGCAGAAGGAGAATGTAAAAGTGATAAGTATTCATCAACAAATTCATATCGTAATTCAAATGAATCTGACAATCAAGTGCCTGTTGAGCAACCATCGATTACAGAAAATTATTCGAAACGAAGCTACAATGATGCTATTATTGGTGTTCCATATAATCCATACAATCCTACGTATTTCTTACCGCATAAAATGCCTATTACACCTGTTGTAATAAATCCGTATGTTATGAGCGATACATATGCTACTGTAACAGGGTCAAGAAATATATTAAATAAACCAACTGATATTGTGCATGGAACTCTACGAGATAATTTAGTGGATACAAAGTTGCTATCAAAAATTCGATCACGTTCAAATTTATTAAAACATGTCTCCAATGCATTGACAGGAATAGTTAAAGAACCTGAAAACGAAAGTATATTAGGTACTTTTTTCAAGCACCTTGTTACACCAGATCCTACTGTATATTCTTTGGATTATGGTAATAACAAAAATGTTATTAATAAAAATAATGTTGTAAGTAGAATATATACATAATTTGTATATAATCATCAGAATTCAATTATTGATAAAGAATACCAATTGTTTTAGGGAAGTGATATTAAACAAGTCAATTCTATTGTCAGTTCTACTAATGAAAATGAAAAAGCTCCTACAGGAAATTCTGTAAGTGAAAAATATTTTCTTCTTTCATTAATAATATATGAAGATAATTAAATAATATTTTCAGGAAATTGCTTCACAAGGAAACATTCAAATACCATCTGAAACAAAAAAATCTACGAACTTAATGTCACCCATTCAAGGAACGAATATATCTCCTACAAATTTTCAAAGTATTCCATATAATCAAAAATATTTTATGTCAATATACCCTTCACAGCAATACCCCAATGATGGCCATTTTAATACCATGCCTATAACTTATATTCTTCAACCTGTAAACATAATACCACAAGGAATAGATTCTACATCACAATCAGAAATAATTAATTCATCACAATCACGTGAATCTTCAAATTGTGAAAATAATAGTTATTTGAGTAATAATGAATACACCGATGCTTTTGAAACATCTACAGCTACTTCTAATAATCAAGATAATAATATGGATTTTAATGATAGAACTACAAGAAATTCCATAGAAGGTACAAGTTAAAATAGAAATGATCCTTTTATCATAGAATACAATTCCAATAAGAGGAATCTTATGAAAAGTAAGAATAAAATTATATAAGAAATTTAAAAAAGAAATCATGTAAATGATATAAATGATTTCTTTTTTTACAAAATAATAATACCAAGTAATTTTTCTTAAATTTGATACATTATTATCTTCGTAGAACTCTTTTTCATAGCATACTATTTATAAATATGCAATATAAACTTGATTAACGTTATAACAGAATGTATATTATATTGAAATTTGTTTTTATATGTTACATGGAACGTTACAAAATTTGTTTTTAAATAAATAAGAAAAATATTTATTAATACATAGCAATATCTTTTCAACCCTTTATTATCTTCTCCCTTTACCCTTTCCTTTTTTAGATGAAGAAGCAGATGACTGAGAAGATTGATCGCCAGAAGCTTGCTTCCCTTGACGAGTCTTCAACTTTGGTATTGTAGCACCAAGATGAAGCAGAAGGGAATCTCTAGTAGGAAAATCAGGCCTTACTGGTGTCCCATCGTCTTGTTTCAATTGTACACGTACACGTCCATAATACGGCATTTCTTTACTACGTTCACGTGGATGTAATTTATTTTCCAAACGAGCATTAAAGCCTGTCGCTTGAAGTACATCCAAAATTTCATGTGCGGTAGGATTCTCAACGCACTTATTTTTAGTCAATTTTCTACCACCAGCCAAAGTCTTTTTACTATTTATATACACGGGATAAATGCATATCCATCTACAAAAGAAAAAAGAAGGATTATTAAATATGATATTGCTATGAAAAGAAAAAATGAAAAAAATGAAAGAGGTTAGGAAACAGATGGAACACGTTTGACACGTGTCCTATATAAAAGTACAAACTTGAGCATATTTTTTAAAGCGTCTATCAAAAAATTTATACGAAAAACCATACATTTTTTTATTTACAATATATAAAAAAGCTAACCTTGCAAACTCGCTGTGTTTCTTTGACGGATTCCAAACCTGCGCCATGTTCTATCAACAAAAACTAGTATAATATACATCAATTCAAATACAATAACCTACATAATATAATCGTTGCCATCAATCACGTATTTTACATCAAATGATACTAATATCGTTTCATTCGAATTATTTAACGATTTGAACAAAAGAAAAACTACGTTAGAATTATTGGATATAAAAAAGAAAAAGAAAAAGAAAAAAAAAATATACGTGCTTGGGCTCGTCCGGGATTTGAACCCGGGACCTCTCGCACCCGAAGCGAGAATCATACCCCTAGACCAACGAGCCGTGAGTTGTTGTTGAACATTCGATTAAGACAGATGTGCTAATCGGTGTTCTTTTGTTAAAAAAATATACAAAAGATCCTACGGGGATTGTGCAATAGAAAAAACAGTTTTAGTTGTTGCAAGACAGGTGCTTTTTATTTTTTTTTTATTCTTTTTTTTTATTTTTTTTTTTACTTTCTTTTTTATTTTTTTTATTTTTTTTTTTTTTTTTATTTTTTTTTATTTTTTCTTTTTCACTAGTGACACTGAGTTATTTTGCAAATCATACAACAAAATAATAATGGTTACGTGAATTGGGCTCATCCAACGACTCAACACTGACCCAACAAAAGAAAAAAAAAACCATGGTGTCAAGAAAACTAAAAAAGAGTACTTTGTATGACGAAGTAAACAAAATTCTGAAACGGAATGTTAAAAATTTTGATAAAGAGTTCAACACAAGGAATTATGACAGGGTATTTGAAAGCAATTCGCGAATAAAATCAAACCTAAATATAGTAAGAAACAAAGGATCAGGACTAGACGCGAACAAAGAAAATGAAAGGAACGAGGGTTTCCTTAACCCAAAAAAAACAGGATTACCGAAACTCTCAGTCGGTATGCAAGGCCCACGCTTTGAGTCTGATAATAAATTCGAGGCGCTATCGGATGATATGAGTTTCACGGAAGAGGGCGAAGTTGAAAAGACTAACAGCGCCATAACGAAAAACTATAAGCAGAGAACCCCCAAAATCTGAATGCCCCCCATATACATTTTAAAAGCTAACCTAATGGACATAATTTTACTACTAACTAATAGCAATATTAACAAGGAAGTTTTCTCATTAAAACTAATAGATATAGATATGATGAGACTAATAACCATACACACGACAAGTGCGTAGCTACACTAAAAATCAAAAATCAAAAATTTCACATATTTACACCAAAGCATACTAAATGCAAGATCTTCATATTAAAAGGTATAAGAGGTGGTTTTGATGTTCCCGATGTTTTAACAGCGCTTAACGCGCTCATCATGAGAAACATCAGAATAATTAAAACCAGCAAACTATTGTTTGACAAACAAAACTTAGATAAATACCACTTCATAATTCAAGTCGATTGCAACAGCGACCCACAAGAATTATTCAAAAATAAAATACTCCTCAACCAAAGAGTAAGATGGGAGAAGCTTAAACGACCCAAAATATTCCCGTGCAAAAACTGCCAAAGAGTGGGGCATGCCAGCTCTAATTGCAATATGGGGTACAGATGCGTAAAATGTGCACAACCCCACGAACCGGGAAAGTGCAATTTAATCTATTCAGTAGAAAAAGAGAACCTGAAATGCGCAAATTGTGGTCAAAACGGACATCCAGCATCGTACCTAGGATATCCATATATGAAAATGATAGCTGACCTGAAGAAGAAAGAAAAAGAAAAAAAAAGATAAAATAGTAATTGTCAAACTCAATAAAATTAACACATTCATCGACCCAAATATATTATACGCAAACATAGTGATGACCAAAGAAAAAAAAAGTGATATAACAGAACACAATAACCAGAGACCAGTCAATAACACAACTCAGGCAATGCATCAGAATAGTCATCATAATACAATTCACCATCATGAAAATAATGTCAATAACGATAACAATTACAATAGCATAAACCAAATACTAGCTATGTTTAAGGATAGTTTGAAGGAAATAAAAGAGCAACTAATTGAATTGAATAACAAAATTATTCAAAACACAATGAGAATTGACTACATGTCATAATGGCAGGTAGAATAAGCGTAAATAGAAAAATAAATAACATACTGAAAATGTTCGCTGTAAATATGAACTCATTTTGCTCATTAAGGCCTCTTGATTTTTTTTTTTTTTTAATTTATTTTTCGCAGCTCTTTATATGTACATAAGTATAATCTAACTTAAAAGACTTTTTACAGTGTTGTCTTATGACTAAAGCTATAAGTTATCTATGAGATAAATCTCCATACCACTCGGTATCTTAGAATATTAATTAATCAATAATTGTGGTTAAATGTTCAATGACAGTACTATATGTATGTTGGTATAGTAAAAAATTAGTGATTATAAAAACTCTTTACCACCTCTAGCACTTATGATAACTAAACTACGGGGGGAGGGGGGATTATTTACAAATTTGTTTATTAGCTGAGTGTCTGCGGCGGTGATATATTAGCGGAAGATTATTATGGTCTTGAATTAGACCCTTTTTGTCGCAATATATAAACAGTTCCGTATTGCATCCTCGTCTTATGGGATAAGATTTGTGATTGAACTATTGTTTGTACTCTTTATGTTGCTGAAATATCTTCTAGTTAATTTGAGTGCAAAGCGGTCAATTCTGTTTATGTTGGCGTTATTGTATATAATCTCATTTTTAATTCTTTTCTTGTACTCTGATTCGGCGGTTCGATGCGTCCTTAGGCATGATCTCTCGAATTTTCTGATTTTTTCGATTATTGTTGGTCCAGTGTTCCATAGTATAGGTGCTGCGTACGTTAGGATAGGTTTCACCAATAGTCCATAGCAAATAATTTTTGCTTTCGTAGAGAGATTTTTGTTGTAGAAAATTCACGAATTCATCTTGAATGCTATCATTGCTTTCTCTAACTGCAGTGCGTAATGCTTGTTGAGTCTTAGTAAGTGATCTAAGTGAACACCCAGGTATTTCACTATTCGTTTCTTTGGTATCTCTATTAACTCATTGATGTGAATATCTATTGCTATTAATTTATTGCTGTCTATCTTTTTAACTGCTGAGTATTTGATCTGTTTGACCGGTCTTCTGAAAAATATTACTTCACTTTTGCAGAATATCTCTGATTCTGTCTATGTCCGTATCTGCTTTATAAATTATTAGATCGTCAACGTAAGCAATTGAATGAAATTTTTCGGAGTTATTCATTCCATAGTTGGTAATTAGTTTATGTTGAAAATGTTGAATCGGTGAAGTGACTGTACTTTGCTGTAATTCTTCTAATATTTTGTAGGACTTCGGCGAGATATTGGTGCCGTTCCACGTGCGGAATGTTTTCTCCTCTATCACGTTAGCGATCATAAGCGTTAACCCCATGGAAAATTGATAGTCCTCAAGTTTTTGTATCAGTCCGTTCTTCCAGATGGAATCGAACGCTTTTTCTAAGTCCAAAAAAACCGCACCGATGGCGTTTTCCTTATGAAGATAGTTATTTAAGTCTGATATTAGTTTATGTATCGCGTGCGTAGTGGATAATTTAGTTTTGAATCCGAATTGATTATTTGGTATAATATTCTGCAATGGCCTCTTGGTCTAGGGGTATGATTCCTGCTTTGGGTGCAGGAGGTCCCGGGTTCAAATCCCGGAGGGGCCCAATTTTTTTTTTTTTCTCTTTCACTTCATCGACACTTTCCTTTTTTGTCGTTTTAATTAATTTTATTAACGCTCATCGACACGCAATCGGTTTACTATTAACTTTGATAATAATAAACCGAGACACAGTAGTAATTTATCATCCTCACTTTAGCATTTCGTGTTAAAAGTCACGTCGATATAACAACCGAGAACTCTCTCTCTCTCTCTCTCTCTCTCTGTCTCGTTCTATTTCTTTCTATTATATGAGATTTCTCTAAACGGATTAGACGAAGCAAGAGGATAAAAACACGGAAGACCTTCAAGAAAGTGAGATAAATAACTGAATGGCTCGTTGGTTTCTTTTTTTGTTTTGTTTTTAAAAGTAAGTTTATTTGACACAGCCCTTTATTAGGTATACAAGTATAATCTTACTTAGAAGACTTTTTACATTATTTTAATAAAAATATAGCTATTAGTTATCGTTAGATAAATCTCTATAGCAATATATAGAATTTTATAATTAATATTGTAACTGGGTGTTCATAAACCAATCGGTAGTGTTCATAAAACAATCGGTAATATATGAGGGTAAAATAAAATATAGTAAATATAAAAAAAATTTTACCAACTATAGCAAATTATAATACTTAAGAATTAACTCTTTCGATACTACCGCCACCTATTGACGGGATCCACTAAACATTCTCTGGGTCCTACCACTGCCAATTGGCGCCCAACGCTAAACGTTCTCTGGGTCCTACCGTCGCCAATTGGCAGCATCCACAGAAAATTATGTGGATACTACAGTCGCCTATTAGCAGCGCCAACGGAAAGTTATGTGGATATGATTACTCTCTATAGTACGCATTATTTTACTATTCTGTGTTTAAAATTCTCGGCTGTTCTAACCGCGTACATTATAATATATAATTAGTAACAGTTAACAGTGTGCTTTAATTATATATGTTTTATAATATATAGATAAGCTACGAAAAACAAATTGGTATGTTTGCTTATATCGTTAATTTTTTGAATGTATAATTTACAATTTGAAATTAGTTCCCTTCAGGATGAGTATAAAACGCTTGAAAGGAGAACAATGGATAAAGGAAATCGTTGATTCCAAAAGTGATTCTGATTAAGAAAGTGAATATAATTTAACATTTCACAAAAGGAGGAGGAACAATCCAGCGCGTTACGACAAAGCAGTATAAACGTTTTAGAAATGTTTTTTAAATACGTTAAATTCCGCGTCAGTCACCCGTCAGGTCACATTTATAGAGGACAAATTCAGTATGTTATTTATTTTTGTATTTGTCCTTATTCTACCTGCCATTATGATATGTAGTCGATTCTCGTTTTGAATAATTTTGTTATACAGTTCTATGAGTTGCTCTTTAATTTCCATCAGACTATCCTTAAACATAACTAATATTTGGTTTATGTTATTATAGTTATTGTCGTTATTAACATTAATTTCATGATGCTGTATTGTATTATGGAGACTACTCTGGTGCTTTGCCTGGGGTGTGTTATTGACTGACCTCTGGTTATTGTGTTCTGTTATATCACTTTTTTTTTCTTTGTTCATCACTATGTTAGCGTATGAGAATTTGGGTCAGTGAATTTGTTGATTTTATTGTTTTTGTCAATTACCAACTTTTTTTTTCTTTTTCTTTTTTTTTCAGGTCTACTACCATTTTCATATATGGGCATCCTAGGTACGATGCTGGATGTCCGTTTTGGCCACAATTTGCGCACTTTAGTTTTTCTTTACCTGAGGAATTGCTCATTTTACATTTACCCGGTTCTTGGGGTTGGGACCATTTTACGCATCTGTACCCCATATTGCAATTAGAGCTGGCATGCCCCACTCTTTGGCAGTTTTTGCATTGGAATATTTTGGATCTTTTCAGTTTCTCCCATCTTACTCTTTGATTGAGGAGTATTTTAGTTCATGTGGGTCGCTGTTGCAATCGATTTGGATAATGAAGTGGTATTTATCTAAGTTCTGTTTGTCAATAAGTAGTTTGCTGGTTTTAACTATATTTACGTTTCTCATGTTGAGCGCGTTAAACGCTGTTGAGACGTCCGTAGTATCGAATCCCTCCTAATTCCTTTTACCACAAAGGTCTTACATTTTGTGTGTTTAGGCGTGAATGTATGGAATTTCTGGTTATTCGTTTTTAGCACGGTTATGCATTTTTCATGTGTTTCACTATCTATGGCTGTCAGTCTCGTTATGTCGCTATCTATTTGTTTTAATAAAAACGAATCTTTCTTAATCTTGCTTTCGTTAAGCAAGATCATTATGTCCCTCAGGTTAGCATTTTGTATATATATAAGAGGCATTCGGATTTTATGGGTTTTCTGGTTGTTGTTACTAGCTGTGGCTTTGTTGGCCTTATCGTTGTCCCCCTTTTCCGTAAGGCTCATGTCATCCGATAGCGCCTTGAATCTGTTATCAGATTCATAGCTTGGGCCTTGGTTGCTGACTGTGCTTTTTGGTGATGCTGTTTTGGTGTGAGGAACCCTTCGATCCTCCCATTTTCTTTGCTCGCGGCTAGTCTATTTTCTTTGTTTCTAATAGCGTTAATGTTTGGCTTTACCTGGTAGTTATTTTCGAGTAGTCTTACCAAGCTCCTGGTATTGAAATCGTTGCCGAAGCTTTTGATATTTTTTTTCAATAGTTTGTTCACTTCGTCCGATGAAGTGCTTTTCTCAAGCTTTCTTTTATGGCTTGACGCCATGGTTTTTTTTTTTCTTTTTTTTTTAAGTTAGTTTATTTGTCACAGTTCATTATATTTACATAAGTATAATCTAACTTAAAAGACTTTTAACAGTATTGTCTTATGACTAAAGCTATAAGTTATCTATGAGATAAATCTCCATAGCACTCGGTATCTTAGAATATTAATTAATCAATAATTGTGGTTAAATGTTCAATGACAGTACTATATGTATGTTGGTATAGTAAAAAATTAGTGATTATAAAAACTATTAACCACCTCTAGCACTTATGATAACTAAACTACGGGGGAAGGGGGGATTATTTACAAATTTATTTATTAGCTGAGCGTCTGCGGCGGTGATATATTAGCGGAAGATTATTGTGGTCTTGAATTAGACGCTTTTTGTCGCAACATATAAACAGTTCCGGTGGTATGTAGCCTGTCTTCAGTTTACTCCGTATTGCCTTCTCGTCGTGTGTGATAAGATTTGTGATTAAACTATTGTATGTACTCTCTATGTTGCTGAAATATCATAGTTAATTTGAGTGCAAAGCAGTTAATTCTATTTATGTTGGTATGGCTCGTTGGTCTAGGGGTATGATTCTCGCTTCGGGTGCGAGAGGTCCCGGGTTCAAATCCCGGACGAGCCCGTTGAATATTTGATTTTTTTTTTTTTTTTTTTTTTTTTTTTTTTTTTTTAATTTCTCATTCTATCATAACCGATTAAAGAATCCTGTTTGAATAATTACTATCTCAATTCATATGGTAATATAACGAATGTTCTTTTCTTTTTTTTTTTTTTTTTTTTTTGAATGACCACTATATAAATCCACACGAAAAATAACGGAATTAAGAATTATGTTTCTCGAGAAAAAAAATTGGAAGAGATTTTTCTTTTTTATAAGTCTTATCTCCAACGAAGCAATAATAAGAAATTTTTTGTTGATGGTATTCATATATCTTGATAAAGTCGCTTCATGTTATTAAATTTATCTTAAAAAAATTTACAAATGGAATTAAATAATACACGCTTATTGCTTATCTCTATTCGGTATTCGATGAAGATCAAAGAAAAATATGATAAAACAATTTTCTCGGATTACATTGATCATTATTTATTTAAAATGTTTCCACAAAATGGTGTTTATTGTAAATTATTTAGAATAATAGAAAACATCAAAAATAATTCCTCGTTGTTAATTTCAATGGTAATGGAGCTTTTGTCTACTCAAGGTTATAACGACGTAAGGACGAATAAAAAAAAATGTAAGCAAAGAAAAAGAAAAAGGAGGAAGTATACATAGAAGCAATACGTAATTTTACAACCGATCTAATTTAAAAGAAAAAAGAAAAAGAAAGATGGAGGTATATAATGAGTAGTGATACGTATATAATCGTTACAGTATGTCAAATTCCTTCGGATTGAGGACAATTGTGTTTCAGTAATAATTATATTAATCATATTTAAAAGGGAAAAATATTTTCTATGTTAATGGTAAGTTTATAATCCTTTTCTATCGTTTTTTGTCTTTTCCTACTATCATTTCATTATACTCCTTCTTTTTTATTGTTAATTTTAAATCACACGTGTTATGTATGTAAGTTCATAATTTATTCGATTTCTAATTTGACTAATATATTTCGAAATCTAAAAAATTCAAGAAATTTGACAACTAAGAGTAATACAAATCTCGACAAGTTATTGGATTTCATAAATACCATAATAATCTACGTTATTTTTAATTTTGTCCTAACTATAATAAATCTGTAAAGAATTTTTCTCTTATTTAGATCAATAGAATACATATATAATGCAATATGTATTTGTTGATTTGTGTAGAGACTTTTTACGAAATCGATGTGTCGGTTATTAAATTTTTTTGAAGGGAAACAAAAAGAAAAAGAAGAAGAAATTAAAAGTTTTAAAATATTCAAAACGCAATCTCGTAGACCTTAAATCGATTAATCCTTAGTTCACTATCAATTGTCAAGATTTTAAGTGTTACATATCGAATAATCAAAATTTATCCAAGGGAAAGAAAAGAGAAGAAAAAAAGGAAAAAAAAAAAAAGAAACGCAAGTATGGACATCAAAGAATTTCTTGAATTTGACAAATTCACCATGGATTTTATCGTAAATTATATGGAAACATTGAGAGATAGATCTGTTTTACCGAACATTGAATCAGAATATCTCAGTCAAATAATACCAGAGGAAGCACCTAAAAAAGCAGAGACCTGGCAAGAAGTTTTCAAAGATATTGAAAGAGTAATTATGCCTGAGGTAAGATAAATATAATATGCACGTATTTCTCGTTTTTTAACACGTTGACACATTGACACACCAAAATCGCATGCTTTGTTCATAACGGAAAGAATTTTCATTACTTTAGACATGTAATGGCAAAATAATGACAAATATGATTAGATAAGAGGATGTTTTTACTAAATAATCACTTTTATTATCATTTATTTCAAAATATTCTATAATTAATGATAATGTTCAAAATTCATTAATACCATCAATATTTTTCAATTAACTTTTACAATTATAAACATTTGAAGGACTCCGCTCACCAATGTTTCCATATGATGGTCAACGTGTTAATAAAAAATTGAGAAATACAATTTTCAAATATACGGAAAAACAACGTATTCGTGTTGATTGATCATTATCTCTCATCTTTGCTTTCCCTTTCACACGAAAGAAAATGATAAAAAAACGATCTTTTTTTTTTTTTTTTTTTTAAAGATAACCCACTGAAATTCACCTAATTTCTACGCTTATTATCCTTCTTCCCAATCGTATGCGTCCATCATTGGCGAACTTTTATGCGCCGGAATTGGTGGTGTTGGATTTTCTTGGATATGTTCGCCCGCCTTTACCGAATTAGAAGTTATAACATTGAATTGGGTTGGAAAAATGTTAAATCTACCATTCGAATTCTTAAATTGCTGCAATGGATCCGGAGGTGTTATACAGGTAAAAAAAAAAAAAAAAATATGCCGTGATACTTTTCGTCGGGCTAATGTAATTTCAAATGGATACCGTTATAAGAAATATCGTTATCTCATAAAAGATAGTTAAAACAACTATTAGTCACATTAACCGTTTACGTACCATGAGCCATTTTCACGCTCTTTAAATTTTGTGTCGAAAAAAGCCAAGGCATTTGGCTGAAACAGACAACTGACGGCCCATCCGAAATTTGTCGAAACGCGCTCAGCCTTTCAGACGCATGTACGTCGCATCGCTATCAATAATCCAATTTGTATTTTGTTGTTACCTATTCTAAATTAATAGAATATATATATATATTTTTTTTTCATTCATAACTGAATGTTGGTATAAAAGAAGCAAACACGAAAAGCGCGGCCTCGTTGTTTACCACATTGAACATGATAAACGCTATCGCGCTCTTCGGTTTTTTTCGATGTATAATCGAAGAAACTCGATCGCGCTCCTTGGCGTTTTTCGACCATGTTTTGTCAAAACCCTCTGGTACGCAAACGGTTAATATTAATTAGCCAAATTGGTTAATCGATTTAATCATAAAATTCCATTAGTAGTTAGGTCAACATATATACATATATTAAGGGGACCGGAAAGTAATGTCGCTTTCTTAAATTGAATTCAAACGAATAAATTTTTAACAATTTTTAAAAATCAAATATCGACATGTGCAGAAACGACATTACTTTCCGGTCCGCCTATTAGTAGAGACATTTCGTTGACTTTTTCCGTTTAACACGTTCCGTGCCAAGCCATTTTTGTCTGACTTGTCGTTCAGGCCATTCGATATTTTGACTAAACAAAAAAAAAAATGACTGCGTGTACCACCGGTGGTACACATGGCACGGAATGTGTTAAAGAAAAAGAATCAAAGTAATTTTTCATGCGATGATCATCGTGTTTTCTTCTAAATACGAATAATAATAATAATAGTAGTAATAATAATAATAATAATAATAATAATAATAATAATAATAATAATAATAATAATAATAATAATAAAAAGAACGTTATCGATAGTAACAAAGAAGCATTTATATAAAAAAAGAAAATAAATACGAATGTAACGTAACTTCGTATTGTAACTTCGATTTACTCGAAAAATATTGAATTAATTAATTAAACGATATTATTTACTCGTATGAAAATAATAGAAAAAGAAAAAGTAAATATGAATGAAAAAATTGATTTAAGAGAGATCGGATAAAAAGAGAAGAAAAAAAAAAAAAAAAAAAAATTTCGGGCTCGTCCGGGATTTGAACCCGGGACCTCTCGCACCCTAAGCGAGAATCATACCCCTAGACCAACGAGCCATAGCAGTACTTGTTGAGCATTCGAAGAGGACGGACGTGCGGATCGGTGCTCTTGTGAGTGAAGAAAGACAATTCAATCCCCTACGGGGAAAACGCAATATAACAAAAAAAATAATGTCAGTTACCGCAAGACGGGTGCTTTCCTTTTTCAATTGTGATATTGTGTTAGTATTTTTTGCAAAGCAGACAACAAAATTATAAAGAATACGTGAAGTGGGCTCATCCAAGGCCCTTTCATGGATCCAAAAAAAAAATCATGGCGTCAAACCAAAAAAGAAAGCTTGAGAAAAGCACTTCGTCGGACGAAGTGAACAAACTGTTGAAAAAAAATATCAAAAGCTTCGGCAACGATTTCAATACCAGGAGCTTGGTAAGACTACTCGAAAATAACTGCCAGGCAAAGCCAAATACTAACGCTATTAGAAACAAAGAAAATGAGAGGACCGAAGGGTTCCTCATACCAAGAAAAACAGCATCACCAACAAGCACAGTCAGTAACCAAGGCCCAAGCTATAAATCTGATAACAGATTCGAGGCGCTATCGGATGACATGAGCCTTACGGAAAAGGGGGACAACGATAAGGCCAACAAAGCCACAGTTAGTAACAACAACCAGAGAACCCATAAAATCCGAATGCCCCTTATATATATACAAAATGCTAACCTGAGGGACATAATCATCTTGTTTAACGAAAGCAAGATTTAGAAGGATTCGTTTTTATTAAAACAAATAGATAGCGATATGACGAGACTGACAGCCATAGATAGGGAAACACATGAAGAATGCATAACCGTCCTAAAAACGAATAACCAGAAATTCCATACATTCACGCCTAAACACACAAAATGTAAGACCTTTGTGGTAAAAGGAATTAGGGGGGATTCGATACTACGGACGTCTCAACAGCGCTCAATGCGCTCAACATGAGAAACGTAAATATAGTTAAAACCAGCAAACTACTTTTTGATAAACAAAACTTAGATAAATACTACTTCATTATCCAAATCGATTGCAACAGCGACCCACATGAATTAAAATACTCCTCAACCAAAGAGTAAGATGGGAGAAACTGAAAAGACCCAAAATATTCCAATGCAAAAACTGCCAAAGAGTGGAGCATGCCAGCTCTAATTGCAATATGGGGTACAGATGCGTAAAATGGTCCCAACCCCAAGAACCAGGTAAATGTAAAATGAGCAATTCCTTAGATAAAGAAAAACTAAAGTGCGCAAATTGTGGCCAAAACGGACATCCAACATCGTCTCTAGGATGCCCATTTATGAAAATGGTAATGGACATTAAAAAAAAAAGAGAAAGAAGTAAAAGATAAGCGTGTAATGGATAAATTCAATATAGTTAATAAATTTACGGTCCCAAAAATCTCATATGCGAACACAGTGAGGAACAATGAAAAAAAAGAGATACACCAGAACAAGATAACCAGAGATTAGCCATTAACATGACCCAAGCTAATTAACAAAATAGTCAACATAATCCAGTTGAACAACAGGAAATTAACGCCAATAACGATATCAACTATAATAATATAAATCAAATATTAACTATGCTTAAGGATAGTCTGATGGAAATTATGGCACAAATACTAGAATTAAATAACAAAGTTACCCAAAACACTATGAAAATCGACTTCATGGCTCAATGGACTAACAAATAAGGACTAACAAAAATATAAAGAACACGCTGAAATTGACTGTTATAAATGTAAACTCGCTGTGCTCGTTAAAAAAGAGACTAGACTTACAAAAGTACTTAGAAGAGCACAGTTACGACATTGCATTGATATCAGAAACTAAATTAAATAATAAGCACAAACCAAAATTTTACAATTACGAAATAATCAGATCGGATAGAGCAACAAATACCAAAGGAGGGGGTATAGCGATATTAATAAAAGACAACATAAAATATATTAACATCACACAGCCAAGGAAGTACACAATATTAGAATACTCAGTTGTGAAAATATTGGTAAACGCAAATAAATTACTACTCATATTTAGCATATACGCAACACAGTCATCAAAAACACATTTATTTCGGAACTTGATCAACTATTTAGAGATTTCAGATTAGGGGACAATGAAATTTATTACATCATAGTGGGTGACTTAAATCCAAGAAATTCAATTTGGTGAGATAAGGCTGCAAATGATAGAGGCAGACACCTACATCAATGGGAACAAGACAACGGCATTAAATTTGAATCAACAATATACTCGGCACTCAACCCCACATACATTAGAAGCAGCTCCTATCTTGACTACTGTATTGCGGACAGTAGAATAGAGATCTTGGATTTAATAAGTAACAAAATACAAACTAATCTATATGATAGCGACCACAACACATTAACCGTTAAAATTGACACAGATATGCTTTTTCCAAGGCATATCAATGGCAGCACCCAGAGCAGCTATCTTCAATTTCAAAAAAGCGAATTGGCGTAAGTTTGCTAAACATGATTACTTCGATTGACTCGAAATTACAGACTAATAACCAGCTGCTCACAAATAGAAATTACTCAATAGAAGAAATAGATGAAAGCATTAAGAATCTCGAATAAATAATTATCAAGTCCATTAGGGAAATACCTAAAAATCAACCAAATAAAAGTGACTATTACCAAAAATATGTTAGCAACAATATCAAGAAGTTACACTTAACAAAGTCCTTTTTAATAACGAGACTTCACTTTATTAAATACCGAAGCCCATATAACCACAGCAATAAAAATATGCTATGGACTACTAGTGACAACTAGTTTAACTTATGCAGTTCCTACATTATTGAATATAGGTCCAACTGTAATTGAAAAATGAAAAAGATTTGAAAGATCTTGGTTGAGATCAACCCTAAGAACGCACAGAACCGCTGAATCAGATTATAAAAGGAGAATAAAAAACGAGACCATTTACAACAATGTCAATATTAATAAAATTGACTGGTTTTTCTCTCAAAATAATCAGAAAATATTTTAATAATATTGATCGTACAAACAATAGCTTAATTACAGACCTTATTTCACAAGAAGGAGACTCAATTCTGAGTAAATTAAATTCAGGCTACATTCCACCGCAACTATTCATTTATTGTGACAAAAATGGTCTAATCCAAGACTACAATAATCTTTCACTAAACTATCACCGCCGAAGACATTCTAAGAACAACAAATTAATAGTATCTAGGATGAAGATAATCAGGAGAATTACACTTTCTCGAAAGCACTACCGAATAGAGATTTAAATGATATTGATAGATTATGTAAAAAATACTTCTGGCTACGAGAAGATGCAACATACATGAACGATCTACGCTGAAAAACAAGATTTAAACAATTTTAATTACTCAATACAGATCAATAGTAATCATAATACATCGATAAGAGATATCTTCTATTCTAAAAAAAAAAAAAAAAAAAAAAAAGTGTGATAGAGACTTATAACGTATAGATTAGTTGTACATAATGTATATATGCCCCTATTGTAAATATGCTCTTCCTGTAGATTAAGTTACCTCAAATCACCTGGTCCTTATCCTATCCCCCTACCTTTAATTCTTAAGTTTTATAATTTGCTATTGTTAGTAAAATTTTTTTTTATATTCACTATTTTTTATTTTACCCTCATATATTACCGATTGTTTTATGAACACTATAACACAGTTACAATATTAATTATAAAATTCTATATATTGATTGCCTATAGAGATTTATCTAACTATAACTAATAGCTATATTTTTATTAAAATAATGTAAAAAGTCTTCTAAATAAGATTATACTTTTGTACCTAATATATGGCTGTGTCAAATAAATTTACTTTTAAAAATAAACAAAAAAACCAACGAGCCGCCTAATAAGTATTAACTAATATTATTATTAAAATTTAATAACATATATATATAATTTAAATTACGTAAGTACTCCTACATTACGTCACATTTATTTCACATTATTATCACATAATATATAATATAAAGTTTTGAGATCAAATTTTTTACACGGGAATAATTGAAAATATATTGTTACGCGCGTAAAATGTGCTTTATTCATTTAAAGAAAAAAAAAAAAAAAAAAAGAAAAAAAAAACTCAAATTATGGAAAAAAAATGAAGAAAGAGAAATGAGGTTATCTCAAAGAAAATATTTGCCAATTTCTAAAAGAAATAAGTGAAACGTAACCCGTAGTTTATTAATTCTTAGAAGAAGGAGATCAGAACGAAATCATTTTTAAAAATCTTTATGATAATCAACTTCAAAGAAAAAAAAGGAAAAGATATTAATTGATTCGCTCCACGGCACGTAACTGTTGTGTGTGTGTGTGTAAGTGCGTATGTACGCTATTCGCAATCAATTATTATACACATAGATATATACATACATATGTAGTTACTTTCACAGAGCGCGCTAATTTCAACTTTAATGAACAACTATCAAAAAGTGTTATAATGAAAGTTTTAATAATCCTGACATACGATGCGACACGAACAATTTGATTTCGATAAAAAAAAAAAGAAAAAAAAGAAAAAAAAAAGGAAAAAGAAAAGAAAATATCAAATCGATAAATCGCAAAATTCTAAACGATAACATAAAGAGAATTTGATTATTCGTGAAGTTAGTTAGATGAGGGGAAACATCTACGTGAATTTTCAAACGTCGTTTCTTTTTTCTTTTTAATTCGTATAATGTAGAAAAGAGGAAAACCGGATTTCGTTTATATTTGAAAAAAGCATACACAAATTGAAAAATAAATGATCGAAGATTGTTACTGCAGAAGGTGGTGAATGCTTCTATTCAAGGCTATTTCTAAAAGATGGACATCATCATCGAGCATAAGTAGATTCGGAAGGTAGAACGCAGACTCTTAAATCATTTTTTTTTTTCTATTTCACATTACTTTTTCTTTTTCCTATCTTTTCTTCTTTTTTTTTTTTATCCTTATCACTATCTTGAATTTGTCAAATATCATAAAAGGCTTCATATATTATCATTAATTATTTTCACCATAAAGAGAGGGACCTCGTACAAAAACAAAACAAAAAGAAAAAAAAGAATAAAAAAAAAAAATAAGATAAATTAACGTTAAAGTTATCTCAAGTAATTCTTTAGTAAATTATAGTCTGTTTGGCTCATAGTAAAAGGTAGACCACGAGATGACCTCATTTCAGAGTTTCGAAATGAAACGTCTTTACTTTTTCTTTGATAATAAAATGTATGAATACATGTATACGTATACGTATTTGAGAGAACCCGCATTTAATTGCTATATAATGTATCTATATATATATATATATATATATATATATATATATATATATATATAGATATGTATGTATATATTATGTATGAATGTTAATTGAATGATTCGATTACGAAATCAATATTCGATATACGACAAAAATCAAATAGAAATTATTATATAAATTTTTCTTTTTTATTTATAATATAATTACTACATATGTATATATATATACACATACACACACGCACATATTTTTCACAAGACATTACTGATATCAATAATGAATCATTTGTTATTTCATATATTTATCATTTAATCGTGAATTAATTTTTTATTAATTGTACGTGATTAATATCATATGCGTTTCTATCGCCTATTAAACAACAATGAATTTACACGATAGAATTTTTTTCTCATCTTCGAACTTCCTCGTCGAATAAAAATACGACTATTTTTATTCCTGTTTTTTTTCCTCTTAGAAAAAAACATAAAAATACAAATAAATAAATAAATATCAATTTTTTTTCTTTTTCCTTTTTTTTTTTTTTTTCTTTTTTTCTTTTTTTCCTTTACCCACGTAAGACATTCCCTGAACATTGCAAAATTACTCTTTCCTTTTAAAATATTAATTACAAATTAAAATGATACTCGTTCTTGTGAATTAAGTTATAGTTCGTTCGAATAATGAATTAATCATTCGTTTTTCGAAATTACGTCCTTAAGGCCGATTTCAACGGCACCGTTACGCTTGGCAAGCACGAATATTCCTTCTCTCGAATGTTTCCATGTGGCGGCCGCAGTCACGTTCGCGATTTCTTCGCGATCGGAAGAGATATTTTCACTTGACGAAAGTGACACTAACGTCGTTGAATTATTCGTCGCTATCTTATCTATTTCGGCATTGAAATCTAAAATCGTAATATATTTCTTATCATTTTTATGGGACAAAAAAAAAAAGAAAAAACAAAAAACTTGTGTGGATTAATTATTAATTAATAAAAGCTACGCTATCATGGGTAGTACAAATACGAAGGAACTTCAAAATTATCCACGGAATAGCAGGATGTAAGTTAAAATTTAGATCATTATTTAAGTCATGGCTTCATTCTTTTTTATTTTTTTTTTTATTTATTTATTTATTAATTTTTTCCAAATAAATCAAATTATATTCAGAAAAATCAGCGTCCGATCTATATTACAATCTAAGATAGCAATAACAAAACGCATCTATTTATTCGGTCAGTATTTTTAAATATGTAATATATATTTATTTCATAAATAAATGATCAATATTTATAACAAAATATCATTATGTGATATAAGTGACGCTTAAATCTGACACTTAATTATTTAATACTTAATAAAAATATTAATATATATACATATATATATTGACAAATTATTTTTACGAAAAGTTTATTATATATATTAATTAATAAAATTATAGACCAAATAAATACACGTGAAGTGATGAGAAAAAAATGTAATAAGACAAGTTTATCTAATGATCAGTCTTGATTCTCAATTCAATGCTAAGTCGTATTGAATTTATCCTTATCTACCATTTGAAATTATCTTAAGTCTACCATTCATATGAAATTATCCTTATCTAACATTATCCATCGTTTATATAAGTTCAGAAAAACGTATGCAGTTTTTTCTTCTTAGTTTCTTTTTTCTTAGTATGAAAAAGAAATATATATATATATATCGGTATATATATATACACATAAGTGTTTAAGATATCAATTGAAATGCGGAATCATGATTCTGATATAGTTTACTAATATCATGAAAGATTAGAATCGAAACTCAAGGTTTCCTTGATTGATCAATATAAAAATTCGAGAAACAGACGTTCTTAACATCTTGATCGATTGACCTAGACATAACAAAAATAGATTCTGTCGATTGTACTTTGTATTATTAAATATATCAATCGTTACGTAATATCATTATTGGATTTGTTTATTTTTAACATTGATAATGTAATTAGAAGATTTTCGTTTTGTTTTTGTTTTTATCAAAATCCTATAAAAGTTGAAAAGAAAATCATTCTCAAAAGATGAATTTTCATGTAATATAATTTTGTTCGACAATATTTTAAAATCGTTGACATTTACGATAATATGCTAATCATACGAATGCATGCATTCTAAACGATCTTCGAGAGTGAATACAAGTGGACCTGTCCTTTCTAATTCGATAGGATTAGCTCGGATATTAACATGACTCTAGCCTTTCAAATATGTACAGTCGCAATAGTATCAACGAAATTTCTAATATTTCACTTTTTTTTGATAATAGAAATTCATAAGAAATGAATTATTTCGCAATAATTTTACATAATATAAAAAATAACTTTCCTTGTAAATCGTTTATATCTATCTATATATGTATGTTGTGTGTATATATGTATGAGACGATTCAATTTTTGATCTGTAATTGTCATACGATCAACTTATAATTATTATACGTGAGATATCTTTCCGAGTGGAGATCAAACATTTTTTTTTTGTTATTATGTCTGTTATCATCGTTACTATGGTCAGGGAACTTAATCGTACGATTCTTGACCAACGTGCATTCGTAAGAAAAAAAACAAAAAAATAAATAAATAAAAATCAAAATTATCATTCGTCATGAACGTTAATTATTAATCGCGGAAAGATCTGCAATGATCGAACTGATGAAATCATTCGTTAAAATGTTTTTTTTTTTTTTCTTTTTTTATAATAACGAATGACATTGCGAAACATTCAAAATTTTGTTGGTCGATGATTACAAAAAATAAAAAAAAAAATAAACAAACTAAATAAAGATACAAACGAATAAATAAATAAAAAAAAAAAAGAAAAAAAAATTATTTTCAGAAGCATAATTAAAATTTGTGAATTAATATACGATAAACATGTTATATGTCTGACGTCTATCGATGATAATAATATTCGTTTAAAATCGTTATCAAAAGATTTATATGAAACTTATGTCGACTCGAATAATCAATTTTAATCCAAGTAAAAGACGATCGTTCGGGCAAAATTAGTCAGTATAACACGCGATGTCGAATCGAACGAGTGTGACAATGTCTTAGAAAAATTTTTTATTATGACCTCGAAACATTTATTCGATCGATTAGTTGAACAATACTACTTTGTCTTTCACCGTCGTTCGACCAGTTTGATTCGTGCTACCAAGGACCTTGAACCTGTTACCTGTCAATACGATCAGCTGTTTAATAACGGGTAATTTTTCCATTGTATATTCTCTCAAAGAAAGAAATCTTCAATGTCCTTTTTTATTTTATTTATTATTAATTTTTATTTTCCGTTTCATTTATTTTTTTTTTATAATATTCGAAATAATCATATAATCTAAAGATATTTTTTAATGTACGGAATGCATGAATAATTTATATATATGTGTGTGTGTGTGTATAAAATAATGTGTAAAATGTATAGATTATAATATATATGATATATTATATATATATACATATGTATAAAGAATATATATATATATATAAAAATATATATAGCTAAATGTAGAAAATGTTAAATATAGTATTTAATTATAAATAAAGTCGTAAAGATATTCGTTATGTTGTATTTTGTTTTGTTTTCAAATATTTCTTTACATCAGATTACTAAAAATTAATAATATGATACATTCAAATTAATACTAATAAATTAATAATAATTAAATAATAATTAAATATTATATTAGACTTTGCCACCAAAAAATTATTATTTCTTTTCTTTTTATATATTGATACTACTATATTTTATTCTTTATATATACACACACATACACACACACACACACATATATATATATATATATATATATATATATATATATATATATATATAATAACAAAAAGCTAGATAGTTTACATATACTCTCTTAAAAGAGTGCATATTATACGAGTTACGGATGTATACCAACGATTTTAGTAATCATCGTGCAAAGTGCACCGTCTGGTGCATGTGTAGATTTATCGTCAGTTATCGTGCTTTTAGTGAATGATAAATAATAAAATAGGTTGAGAAATAATGAGGAAGGACATGACTCTTTCAAAATGTCATAATATTTATCATTTTATGTTTATTATTGTATTATGGTTAAACATTTTTTTTCAAGTTAATACAATAAAAGACATATGAATAATTAATTTTACGAAAACAATTCAATTATATTAATGCCCTTTCAAATGATATTTGTAAATTATTGAAAAATAATTACTCGTGCCCTCTGTTTTGTAATTTATAAAAAAAAAATCATACGATTATATATACGTGAGGTGTAAGTCTATGCGTGTGTACGCGAGATATGCAAGTGCACTTTTCTAAAAATATTCATATATATATATATTTATGTCTCTTATTATTTTATTTGGAATTTCGAACTAAAAGTTTTCTTAAAATGGAAAGTTTCTTTGACCGATAGTACCATAAATAATTTCACGATTATACTACGTTTTGCATGAAACACCTCATCGCTCAATGAGCGACAATACACGACTGCGCATTGCACGGTCATACGCTAGAGAATCATCTGATCGTCTCCCAGTGACGTCTATATCGAGTAAGGTACCCATAGACAAAAAAAAACTAGATTAAATTCGTCGTTGCTTGTACGATATATTTTTTCATTTTCGAAACTAAAGTCTATCGTATGCATAAACGCAACGTTTTTTTTTTTTTAATTTCATAAACAATGATATGTAAGAGATAAGATGAAAAAAAAGGAAAAAAAAATTAGTGAAAATATTTTAATATAAATTCCTTTAATATGAATTCACCTTCGTGTTCTCGTTCATTGCTATTCGAGAATTCACAATTTTTTTTCCAAACTTAATTGAATTTTTCTAATAAAAATTTAATGATCGAGTAAAGCAAAACAAACAAAAAGAAGAAAAAAAAGAAGAAAAGAAGAGAAACTGTTTTTAAAAGATAAGATAAAAAATTATGAGGAAAATTAGCTCATTCAAAATGTGATTATGTAATCGTAATATATATATACAGTATCGTCTTACGTCAAGATAATTTGTTCTATATAAATCTCGATTTTCTTAACCTATTACATATTTATACTTTTCCTTAACTATATATTTATATTTCTAAAAATATATCTTCTGTCCCACTTCCAAAGGAAGAAAAAACGAAAGAAAGAAAGAAAGAAAGAAAAAAAGAAGCGTAACGTAACGTAACGTAACGTAACGTAACGTAACGTAACATAACGTAAATTCGAATAAGTATAATGAATTTCTAATGCCCACTAGTTCAAATCAATGCGTGTACGGCCTTGGGAACCTATACTTCATACTCCTCACACATTCTAACCTCACCTTGTCATGGCACTACTGCGTTCTACCCTACCGACGAGCATCTGCAATCTGTGTTCAGTCTCGCACTTCGTTTGCAGGATTCAAAGCAGTTCAAGAGTAGCTTCGAAGACCAAACAACCTTTGACGATGTCGAACCTCGAACGTGATCGTCTTGGTCAACCTGGAAGCGGTGATGCTCTGTGTCATGGCCTTCTTCGTGGTATCGATCATATCAAGAATCCTCAATTGAACAAGGTAAGACTTTCTTGTTGTTTTGCCTTTATCACATTAGTATTACTTGCTTGTATTTATGACAGATAATAATCGATGAACATATCGAGTTAAAATTTATATGTTAAATTCGTCGATAGATAATATATTTATTAATTATCACAATGAATAAATAATCTAAATTGTGATTGTCTCATGGAAAATATAACGTGTATTATTATTTGCATTGTTAAAAAAATTTTTACTGTAACTTTTTGCAACGTAATCTATAATGTGAACGCGCATAATAATCGTTTTGTAATCTACCGTAAACCTGGTTAAACTTGTTGCTTAGTATTCCCCTTAACGATTTTCTTTACTTCTTAATATAATATATAGGGTGTGTCAAGAATTAATCTCGATCTGACGTATAAAATAATATATGTATAACTTGTTGCTTAGGATCACCGTAATGATTTGCACTCTTAACTTCATTTCGCACCGAACGGCCTATATAAGCGTGTATAACCAGATACAAGAAGCGAGTATATATATATACTATCAAAAAATTGACGGTCAGATAGGAATAGAGCGTATCGAGCTGAGAATCTTACTCTTCAGCGTCGTTCAATTGTAAATGAGTGGTGGTTTTTATTTACGGTAAAAAAAATTATTTTACAAGCGAAAGGATTATAACATTATATATATATATATGCGCGTATATTTGTATATATATATATATATATATATATATATATATAATATTATATAATATATATATATATGTACACATATGTGTGTGTATATAGGGTGTATCGAAAATTAATGTCAATCTGATGATAATTTAATGAATTATCTCTAACGTAGTTTTATACAAATTATTTTTTCTTTTATAAATTACACAAAGAGAAGAAATTATTTATTATTTAAAATGGCAATGATTATTGAATCATACGATCTTTATCTACTTATATCGGTCTACGTCAATTTTTAATATGAATGAAATTATTTATATTCTTCGTATCAAATAGATAATTATAATTAATATGAGCAGTAAAAAAAAAAAAATATAAAAAATAATAAAAGAGAAAAGCTTCAATAGATTGAATATTAAAAGAAATTTTTTTTTTCTAGAAAGTGGTACTTCTTCGTATCTGACGTAATAAAGAAACAGTATTGTAAACTACATTTTGAGAGAACGTAAATTCGTTGAATCCGTTCGCGACGACGCGATCACCGTCACGTAGGACTTCTGAAGATCATCTTTCTTTATACTTTTATGTTTCTTTAAATTCTTACTTCAAGTATCATTTTTTCGTCCTTTTTTTTTTTTTTTATGAGTCAAGTGATCTCTCTCTCTCTCTCTCTCTCTCTCTCTCTCTCTCTCTGTTTCTCTCTGTAATCTATCAAAGATAGTCTCCATGAAAGTTAGATGATTTTTATCTGATTACACAATTGTTTGCAAAGATTATCACATTATTGAACTTATGGTATCTGATAGTTAGATTAATTTCTTTGATTTTAACAATTATATTTTTGTCATTTAATTAATAATATTGTACTAATCAAATTAAAATTGTCATACTAAACAAATTTTTACTTAATACAATTTTCGTTAAGTACAATTTTTTTTCTATATTTACGGAATATATTTATGATAACGTACAGGATGTGTCAAAAGTTTTTAGATGATTTTGATAAAAATCAATTACTTAAAAAATCCAAATAATACATAATATACAAGTTAATAGAATATTTTTTACAAGTGAAATTTTTTGGATATTAAAAAATATTTTTTTATTTATTATTTTTATTAATTAATGATAAGTTCTTACGAAAAAAATAAATGGTTAATATTTATAATAAAATATCAACATGTAATCGTAACAGATCAGTATAAATATAAAAAATGTAAAATAATTGATAAAAATAAAATAATTTATAAATACTGATGATCTATTTAAAACATTGAAAAATTATTATATATGTATATATGTATTATATATGTATATATATATATATATATATATATATATATATTTTAATTAAAATATTGACAGTTTTTATATTAATCAGTGTAATACCGTCAACTTATATTATATTAAGTACTGTAATTTCATTATAAATACTGACCATTTATTTAAAAAACTGTTTTAAAACTTTTGAAAATATTGATTCAATAAATAGCAGCTAAAAAAAATTAGCTGTCTCAAAAAAAAAAAAATCGATTTTTCGAGACTTTTGACCCATGTATTTGTTTCTCCTGCACGCTCATTGTATCTTTCTACTCGACGTTCATACAATCCTAGTAACTATTCGCATATTTTATCTCTCTTGAACTTTGTTCCAACGCATATTCACAAGTGTTTTCTATGCAAGGTCAAGCTGTACATATATAATTCATTGTTTTTCTTTATATAATATATTTAAGGAAAAATAACGGTTACAAATATGTAAAAAAAATTCGTAAAAAAGGAGTTACATGTGAGTCATTTAATATCAAATTTGTTCCTCTCAAAAATTTCTTTTATTTTTACTTCGACATTCGTCAATGATGATTTATAATCGATTAATTGAAAAATATTAAAAATATTATTTAATTATTTACATAACAATTAATCTATGAACATTAAAATTAATTAAAAATAATTGTAAAATTAAAACTGACCATAGTCATACTCAATAAAATTCTTAACATAAATTAAAAACTCTAATAATAAGTGAACGTAAAGATATCTTGACATCTTCGTTACAAGAGAAATGCATTTTCTTATTCTTACGTATATTCATTTATAATTCGTTCTATATTAATTTGATGTAACTTAAGAAGTTAAAAAAAAAAAATAATAATAATAATAATTTACAGAACAAAATAAAACATTAAACATTATAAACATTTTCGTCAACTTCGCTATAGTGAAAGATATTAAATATCAAATCAATGATCACTGATTATAGTTACAACAAGATTCAAGTACTTACAATCCTCGGAATAATTCAATAATTTTGATTAATCAAATTATCGATTATTTTATAATTAACACATTAAGCTTATTCCTTCTTTGACTTTTATTAATCCTTTTCTTTTTTAACACATTTTCATTCGTGAAATGAGATCATTTTTAATTTTCAAAATATTTCCACAACGTCATAATGTATGATTGCAATAAGGTCGCGTGTTACTTTGCATCGAAGAAATCGTAGGGTTCCCTTTATCGATCGGTCAGACTAGCGACTTTCCGGAGGAGGGTCGCCAGCACGAGAGAGTGAAGAACCCCGGCAACCGTTTCCACGTTCACTTGTTTGTCATGGGATTTGAAATCTTCATGAAAAAGAAGAAGAGTAAAGAAAAATAGTTGTGTCATAAGTGAGCAAATTTTTTTTTTTTTTCTTTACATGGAGACCGATTGGTGGAGTCTTAGTCCTGACAAGACTCGTACACCGAATGTACCGGAAGCACTTCTTGCATTGGACGGAAGGGTATTATTTAAAAAACATTTCTTTTCTTTCTCTTCGATTCTTTTTTCTTTTTTCTTTTCCTTTGATTTTTATTGTTCAGTGACGATGCATCCTTTCAAAATTTACCATAATTGTCACGGCCTTGCACGTATCATTATTATTAGTTTTTTTTTCTTTGCTTCAATTCTTGCTCCTTCTTTATCCTTTTGAACTTTCTTGCACTGAGATTTACGCCTACAATATATCAATGGGTCATTTTTTTTTTTTTTTTTTTTTTTTAGAAATTATTTACATGCAAAAAATGAAAATGTTATGAAAAATTAATATTTGCATGATAATGAGTTTAATAAATTAATAATTAAAAAAAAAAAAGAGGTTTATTATGTCAGTATCCTAATACTGATACAATATATTTTTGCGCAATCATTTTGAGAAATAATATATTTTAGTATAATATCACAGAGAAAAATAATTTGTTGAATTAATTTATATGATTATTCGTTTATCACTAAACTTAAGTTAATTACATTAGATAGTTAACGAAAATATATATATATATAACTGAATTAGCAAAAAATAAGTTATATGATCCATTAAAATGATTGACGTAAGCCTTACTTCCTAAATTACACAATTTTGAAAATGAAATACGCTGACAGATGCACCTAGAATTCGAAATCAAATTTTATCGCTTTACGTATGTTCATTTTCAAAGCAAATTTTGATCATTTATTGAATTCTATGTATCTATAGAAGAAACAAAATATGTATTTTATCTAACATTATACAACTCGTATAATCATTCCATCGTCTATCTCGTGAAGTATTTCTATGACAGATTAAAAAACGAACGAACATACGAGTCATTATGATTAAGCTATCGTTCAAATCATCGATTTGTGGACTTGAATATCTCTCATCGGACTAGATTAGATGAGATAAAATTTCTGACAGCTATCTAACTCGATGAAATTAAACAAAAATCTTCCACTCATAATCCTCACTTCTGTCCATCAATATGTGTAAAATGACCTGTAAAAATTTAAACGGTAGAGTTAATATATAAAATATATTATCAGACGTAACAATAATTTTTTCTTGAATTATAATCTCTGATGCACGTACACATTTACAAATTTTACTTGAATAAAAATGAGAAAAATTTAAACGAGAATTGATAAATAAAATAAATTATTAGATGGCAATAAATGTTTTTTGTTTTATTCGATCTGATCTGTATAATTTAAAACATCAAAATTCCATTTTAATTTTTGACAGATTTACGTTCGGAAAAAATTATATATATATATATATATAAACATGCACGGTTAAAACTTCGTCCTGAAAATGAAATTTATTAAATAATATAAATGATTGAAGACAAAACAATAATTATTCCTTATTATTATAATCTAATTTAAATAAATCCAAATGTTAATTCGAGGTTTTACCCTTATTTAAATTTTTTTTTTTTTCCTTTTTTTTCCGAGAAAATATGCATCTACATGTATTAAACTTCCAAGGGAATATATCTGCAAAGGTCGATGTCTTATAGATATTACGATTTATAGAAGTCGATTAGTATTGTAGTCGTTGAGTCGTTTAGCGGACGACAAGTATCAAACGTAGTCTCGTTGTCATTGACCGCTTCCGATGTCTATGGAAAAATACAAGTGACCTCGTATATATTTCTTTCCTTTCTTCCTTTCTCTTGAAATAAAATTATTCTTTTAATATCAACAATTGTTCCTACTTAACCTTGTCTTATAAAATAAATTCCAAAGGTTTGCATTAAAAGAAGCAAAATATAAAAAAAACAAGAAAAAAATTTGCAAAAATTAAGAAAACAAAAAAAAAATACTAACAAAAAGACAATCTAATAATAGTATAATATAAACATTTATGCTTTAATAATAACAACATTGATTGTTTGACTTTTGCTCTACGATTTGTGTAAAAAAAAAACAGAGAGAGAGAGAGAGAGAGAGAGGCAATTTCAAAAGGAAATTGTCGAGACAACGCAATTATACTACCAATGATTATGCTAGTTATTGTAATTGTTGCATAAACACATTCAAGTTATTTCAATTTTATTGATTTCTAGAATTATGATGATACGTAGAATTTGATAAAACTTTTTCTGCAATTTATCGTACTTTGATCCGAATTAAACGATTTTTTTTTTTGAGGATTAAAAACTTTCTCTCAAAATATATATAAAGATAAAATAAATATAGAGAATAAATGTATTCGAAGTTTTATATTTTCATATGTCTAATATATAAACGTCATTGATATATAAATAGAAGGAATGCATAAAAATTTACAAAGGCAACGGTCTATATCGATTGATAGTTTTCTTTCTCATGACATAAAAAATATCATGAATTATATCAAACATCGTTAATATAATCATGAATTATATTAAACTTTTGCAAATGACTGAATCGTACCTGTTTATATAGATGACGTTACGAATTCAAAAACAAACGCATTTATACTATTAGAGATGTTAAGAACAACACCATTGTGAGATATCAAAAGAACAAATCTATTTCAGTTAATTAAAATCACGGACACACGCATTGGTTTTTTATTTTTATTTTTTTAACAAAAATAAAAGTTTTCTTTTATGTTGTTTATAAGGAATAAAGCTTCAAAATGTGACCCTATAAAGAGTGATGCCCCAGTCGCATGATTAATATGGCCCTGATCGAGGACAGATTCCATGTTAGAAATTAATATTTTGCACTCTTTTTATTTAAAAATAATCGTGAATATTCCTGAAGATAAAATCGACTAAACATTGAAATGAGAACACCTGAATTTATTACTTTTTTTTTTATACGTATTAATACGAGGAAAACTTTCAAGGAAAAGAATTAATGAAAAAAGAAAACAAAAACTTTTCCTTTTCAATTTAAGAAAAATATTTTCATTTCTTATATAATTCTTTTCAATTTTTTTTTTCTTTTAACTTTTTTAATCTTTAAAAAATTTTTCTTAAAATTAAAAAAAAAAAAACAGAAAAAAAGGATTGTTTGTAACTAAAAAAATTTTTTATTCTTAGTTTTATTTCATTTATTTTTTTTATTTTCTTCCTTTTATTTCAATGATCAAAATGTTCAAATACTTTTTAATTAAATCACTCACATTGTTCATTACATCGTCGAACAAAACATACTTTGATTATAGAAAATATTCAAATCATTACATAAGAAATCTTATATAATGTATTTCTGCAACAATGATAAACATATCTTTCTAATTGATATATCCTTAGAAATATCAATCGTAGAAATTGTGAAAAATATATACCCTAGGGTATTTTTTCGAAATGAAGTCACTATATGTATTTGCCTTATGGGCGACAATAAAGAATAACGACTGTAAAATATATGAAGTATACTTTCCTTTCTGTAGAAAAAAAATCAATGATTACGACATAACTAGGTCAACGAACGGATTAATTCTAATTTCTTATCAACTTGAATATTGTACCTTTAAATAAACTCTTACATTACGATTAACGCAATATAAGATTATGGCGAACGTTGTTGATTCATCGAGAAATATAATATTATTGATTGAAGATCAAAAAGAAGGAAAAAAAAATATATTTATATATCATTTTTTATCTTCAGGGAATGGCCTTTAGCATAGAAGAAAGACAGTTGCTTGGTATACATGGACTTTTACCAGCCGCTGTGAAGACTCAGGAGGAACAATTAGAACTTTGTCGTTTGAATTTGGAACGTTATCCTGATGACCTTCTTAAATATATATATCTCATAGGCCTACTGGTATGTATTTATTCTCTAAAATAATTCATTAAAATAATTCTCTAAAATAAATAATCATAGGTATCGTCCAATAGAGACATATTAATATATTTTTTCTTTTTCCTGGGGGGTTTTTCTTTTTTACGATTACTATAGAATTCATTGTTTTATATTTTAGGACAGAAACGAAAGATTGTTTTACCGTTTACTTATGAACAACGTTGAACAAATGATGCCATTGGTATATACACCAACGGTTGGCCTAGCTTGTCAAAAATTTGGTTTGATTTATCGCAGACCACGTGGATTATTCATAAGTATACACGACAAAGGATATATTTATGATATATTGAAAAATTGGCCTGAACACGATGTACGTGCTATCGTTGTTACCGATGGCGAGAGAATACTTGGACTCGGTGATTTGGGAGCACATGGTATGGGAATTCCTGTAGGAAAGTTGGCTCTTTATACGGCCTTAGCTGGTATTAAACCACACACTTGTCTTCCGATAACACTTGACGTTGGTACTAATACACAGGTAAGATTTTGGTTTTTTTTCCTTCTTTCTTTTTAAAAATTAATTTTCATTTAATATTTAACAATATAATTTAACAATATTAATAATAATAATAATAATAATAATTATTTACAG